GGATCGAATAAACAACATGTAAAATCAATATATATATAAGAAAAACACATAGCAGATATAAAGAACACATAAGTAATAGGTTTCCAGATTAAATATCAGTTTATTCAAATTCCTCACAATAAAAATTAAATCTTATCCTCATCAGAGAGTCTAATTTCTTATTTGTGTTACCTTTTAATTTACTTGTTTTAGACACAGGGGAATTCTTCAATTTGTCATTTACTTTTTGTTACATTTAAATTCATGATTTGCAAATCTATTAAATGACTCTTTTAATTTAACGGGTACCCGATCCATAATTTCTAAGAGGTTAAGGAAAACATATTATTTGCAATTCACATCTGTTCTAAGGAAGATTACACATACAACTTAAATTATTACATTCTTATTCATATAAAAACCTTAAGGTTTGACTCGGTAATTTAGAAGGGGAAATAGGAAGCAATTCAGTTTCAGTAGACTGAATTTAAGATTCAATTTTAGGTAAAGTTCCAATTTCCAAAAGTTCTAAGGAAAATTGATAAAGCACTTATCTGTGATTATGACGACTTGAAACGCACCCGGAAAGGTATTGGGCTGGACTTGCATTCTGGGAGAAAATTCAAAGGGTTATAATTCCACCATAATTCCTAAAAAATTCATTCCGTAAGGGGAACACAAGCGTCTAAGGAGTCTCACGCTTTTCGGTGCCACTAGCCGCAATTCCTAATAACACCTGACTCCATTATTTTTCAGGCAACACAATCCGCTTCGCACAGCATCGCAGAAAACAAGCCCTCAGAACCAGCACCCGAGCAGAATCTTCAAGATCGCAGTCAGGATGTCGAGTATAAAATCTCACGTTGGCCGGGGTGGAACTTGGCCAATAATTTTGGAAATTCGCTGGATCATTTTTTTTTCGACAGCAAAGCGACGGCCGGATAGTGTCCGCCACGATCCGCCTTAATCACCACCTATTCAACCACAGAAGCATAATAAATCCTTCAGCCTTGGAAGTCCGGCAAAAAGTCTTAATACTGAAAGTCTTAAATCCTTCAACAAAACTAGTCCAAAGTCGGGCAAAAAGTAACGTCCAAAAGTAAGTTCAGCAAGTATGTACGTCTCGCCAAGTCTCGCACGAAAAATATCACACGAAAAGGTGATCCAAACTCGAATTTTCTTCCTCTCCTTCACAAACGCGGGCTCCCACTATGGCTTCAATTATCGCCCCCTTAATTTGGGCAAAATTTGCGTTTTCAACCCCTGAATGCGGAAATAAGGGTGATCGCGCATGCGCGCCCTTCTTCACTTAGCCAACAACCGGACCCTCCGATCGCCAAAACCTGAATGACTTACATCGAAAGTCAAGTGGCAACCTCTGACCCTTCTGTCACGTACTTCCTGTCTTAAGGTCAACTACACAATGAAATTTCCTTCTAGAACAATTCTAAAGGACAAAAGCGCGCGAAATCATGACTTAGCAAAATTGCTTCCCTTTCACTGCTTCTTTTCACAATGAATCAAAGCTTGTACAAAAATTGCATATAAAAGAAAAATAAATAATATTCTTTTAAACTAAATAATTTCCCAGAAGCATCTGTTTTCCCCCAAAATTAAAGTATTAAAATAAATAATTCAGAATCAAATAAAATTAAGATTTCCATAAATCAGAAAATCATTCACCTAGTTTTTATAACGCTATCAGACAAATTCTATACACAACACTAACTAGTTCTTAAGATTTTTCACTTTCTACAGTAACTGAGAAATACACTAGTGAGAGTCTTACAATAGTTTGAAAAAATAAATGGATGTAAATTGTCTGTCCCCTCACAGGAGGTAACAATGGCCGCCTTTTAGGTGCCTCCATAATAAAATGGCCATCACTTCTGGCCTTAATAGTGGCGAAAGCCTAAAAATGGCTATTTTCTACCATATAAAAATCACAATTAAAGTTTGAAGATCTACGTTTGATATTTTAATATGATTATTAAGAGTCCTTGTTTTGTTATCATCATTCACTGAACCTGCGACATTATTTATTTTATTAGAAAGCAAATCAGGACATATAATCACAAAATTTCGGTTTTTTACATAGGGGACACCAATGTTTAGACCTACGTTTATTTACTCTATGATTTCTCTTAAGATACGCAAAACAAACGCTCTTTTTCTTAATGATGTGTTTCTACATTCTAAACTCATTGAAAATGCATCATTACAAGGTTCAGACATATGCCGTTTTTCAAAAAAATACAAGAATAAAATTTTTATACTTTAAAAATTTTTCATAACGCTTATAAGGTATCTCCTCCCTCCTTCCATCATGCTTTCGTGGTGTATCGGTGGCACACTCGGCGGGTGTTCAAGAGCTCCAGTTTCGACTCCCGGCGAGGGCATTGCATACTTTTCCCATCTCCTGCTTCAAGAAAACCTAATGACTCTGCAATGGCGCACGAACTAAAAGGTGGCAGGCAATAATTCGTCACCACTAGGACTTGACAATTAGGTCTGTCATCCCCAGACGCCCTTTAAAAGCGGAAGTATATAAGCTATTTTCTCCCTCCTTTCAGCATGTTTTCGTGATGTAACGGTACGCGGCGTATTCGAGTCCCGCCAAGGGCATTGTACATATTTCACATCTCCTGATTCAAAATAACCTAATGACTCTACACGCTTACTACTGCTACTGCTTATATTAATTAGCTCACATGCAATTGAAACAACAGATTTTATCTCAAAAAACGTATTTTTTCTTACTATTTACGTTTTCAGAACGTAAAATATCCACGGGTAAACTTAACCCCATACTCATTTTCTACTTCCTTTTATAGAAAATCAGTCAATGAACCTAAATAATTCTTGCCTGTTGTTCCAGGAGACATATCTCGCTGTCTTTTCTACCTTTTTATTAAATCGGTAGGAGGTGTAAAAAGGAAATAAAACACATGCAAATCGGTCCTTAGTTCAACCGAGGGATTCCAGTGTACGTAACTGAGTTTGGAACTTGTCATAAATAATTAATAAGTCTGTTTTCTGTTTGGCATTGATTACCAGTTTTAATAGTTTTTTGATATAAATCTGAAACGTTATCGTTTCTAAATCTTACTTTGAGGTATTCCACAGATTTTGCGTAATTTTCCTCCGTAGCAGGAAAACTCTCTACTATTGTTCTTGGTACTGTCTTAGGTTTTGCTGCTTGGGGAAGATAGTGAAACTTGTATCTCTTGTTGATACGTGTATCTTCATGTGTTTTACCGAATCTCATTCAAGACATCAGCCAGTTTTGCGAGTCCCCATCAAATTTCATCAGCTCGGCGGTCCTAACTGTTACTGATGAAGTACCACTGTAGAGTCAGTAGGTTAATTTGGAGGCAGACGAGATGAAAAATATGAAACCGCCTTCGCCGGGAATCGAACCACGGACCTCTGAAATACCGGCCCAGTGTGCTACCGTTACACCACGAAGGCACGCTAAGGAAATGGGAGAAAAACCGGATGTACTCCCCTTTTTAAAGGGCGCCTAGGGTTTTAGAGGACCTAGTCGCCAAATCCTGGGTGCGGAGAATCATCATCCACAATCCTTTTAGTTCGGGCGCCACTTGTAGAGTCATTAGGTTAATTTGGAGGCAGACGAGATGAAAAATATGCAACCGCCTTCGCCGGGAATCGAACCACGGACCTCTGAAATACCTGCCCAGTGTGCTACCGTTACACCATGAAGGCACGCTAGGGAAGTGGGATAAATACCTGATATACTTCCCTTTTTAAAGGGCGACTAGGGTTTTAGGGGACCTAGTCGCCAAATCCTGGGTGCGGAGAATCATCATCCACAACCCTTTTAGTTCGGGCGCCGCTTGTAGAGTCATTAGGTTTATTTGGAGGCAGATGAGAGGAAAAATATGCAACCGCCTTCGGCGAGAACCGAACCGCGGACCTCTGGAATACCGGCCCAGTGTGCTACCGTTACACCACGAAGGTACTCTAGGGAAGTGGGAGAAATACCTTATACCACTATTTGTTGCACTTGTAGAAAGGTTAAGGACGCTTATACTTTTTTCTCTTGCCTTTTACTTTAAACATAAACAATTCGTCGTAATATTATTGAGCTGCGCTAAATTCTTTTCCGTATTTTTTTTTTTCTGTAGAAGTTACAAAAAAGAGTCATCAGTATTTCATAAAGTTTTATACATTTAAGAAATTTGATCTAAGCAAATGTGGAAATCATCCAAGTCCGGAAAATCTGATCGAATCCAGCTCTCCAACGTATTAGCCGTTTTCGTAAATGCTCTTCTAATGGCTTTCCTTTTTCGCCTTGTGATCTCGAAATCCTCCGTGTTTGCGCGTAGGTATTTTTCATTTATTTTCTTAAATTATTCAAATAATCAAGCGTCGAAATTGATGCCACTATGCGACATATAGATAAGACATCCCGGTACAGGGATGCCAGTTTGTTGCTTAAGGAAAAATTACCAGATTCATAAAATTGAAACGACACTTTTAAAAATTCAACATTTATTTTTCGCACATTTCTTATTCTGCAATTCTCAAAAACAACTATTATTTAAGCAAAAACGAAAACGTTGACGTTATTCATCTGTGCTCGTTCTCTTCGTAAAAGGCCAATGCATTCTGACTGCCGCAGACGCTTTTAGTTTATCTATCAAAATTTCATCTTGCTTCCTAGATGTAGTCAGTAACTATGAAAAAGCAGTTAAATACTTAGAAGTAGTATGGTTATAAAATGTAGTTAACAGCTATATAGAATCGTAAGCGTTTGAAAACGCTCCAGTTACTCGATACTTTTCTGCACCTTTCATTTTCAGCTTATTCGATATTAAATTGTTGTATATTACCTCTATGAAACATGAACTTAAAAGATAATGCATGTAAAGAAAACTGCAGTCAAATACTCAAATTTATATCGGTATCAAAATCAACATCAGTCGTACACCGAATTTTCCTCTAATTTTAAATTTGAATTTTAAAACGTTTAGAGAAATATAAAGAAAACCCCTTACGGTAACTCCATCTTCGTGCAATACTTGGTCGTATTCACTGATCGCTGCTATGAAGATAATGGCTGTCACATCTTCAAAACAATGAATCCACTTTTTTCTTTCAGAGCGCTGACCCCCAACATCAAACAACCTGGAAAGAAAACGGTATTGAATTAAAAGTATGCATTGCACAAGATTAAATTAAAAACATCTCTACCTGAAAGCTGTAGGTACAGAAAATATTCTACTTATAATTTAGTTGCTATTACAATATCAAAGTATTGCTGCTGACAGTTTTTAATTACTTCATTTCATTTCACTAATAGAAAACGTGCTATTTTAGTTTGGAAGTTTAGTTCAAAACTTTTACCCACCATGACTGGTATCAGCACCTTTTGTCCAGACGTGATTTCCCAGTAAAATATAAACAAACTTCCGCACTAGATAAACTAGAATGCGCAAATTAATGAAGAACTAAATACTTTTTTTAAAGCTTCTCATCATTGGTACCAAGGAAAAAAAGCAGATAAATTAGCATTTCTAAAACCGCAATCAAGCCCACCAGCGGCCGAGCGGTAAAGTCGCTGAACACTGGTATTTCGGTCCGAGGTTCGAATCCCGCGAACGAACTGGCTGCATGGGTGTTTTCGTGGTTTTCTCCATGTGTAACGTGTATACGAGCCAGTTTCCCTTAGAAAGTCCTCCACGAAGGCATCCCTCCCCTTAGGCAGATAGCCCTCGAGGCTTTGCCGTAATTAAATAGCCTAACCTAAAATCGCAATCAGATCTACTAGCTAACCTAAACAGCGAGTTGAAAGAAAGATCTCTGGGAATCATGGCTAGCTGATTTACGTTAAAAGCAGTCCTTTGGCGAAGACCATGCACTGCGAAGCATTTTCGTCAAAGTGGTAAAATGTCCTTTGTGTATAACAGGGAAACAACTTCCTGTGGGACTGTTTCGCCTAGGAATCATTCAGTTGAAACCAATGCTGGGGAACAACTCGTTTCTCGGAAACGTTTTTCCTAGCCTCGGCCGTCGCTAGATGTAATAACCTCGTAATTCTCTAATAAGAAAGGCTACTGGCATGTAGAAATACCAAACAGGAAGAGTAATTCGGCAATGTAAAAAAATTTAAAATTAGGTTACGTCTCACCTTTATTTTGGCTCATTTGAGTTTTATTCAAAATCTACCCCAAAATATGGTTCCTGTTTGCTTCATTTTGAAAATATTACTCGTACATTTTTTATCATCTTAGCGTACTCCTGAGCCAAAATCACTTCAGAATTTTATAACAGCAACTGAGCTTTTCATAACTTACTTGAAAATGACTTTCATGACTAACTTTGATGACGTTTCAGACTGTTTAATGAAATTAGAAAAAATACCAATTTTCTTGAAGCATAATCTCATGGTTTTCTCTAACCAACTTTGATCTTCTGTGGAGGTGCTCGCCTTAGACACTGTTATCGCATTTACGTTTAAGCTTACTAACGAAATGTTAATTTAATTTAAAATTCTTCCCATTTTACTTCTTTTTGCCATGAGGTTCACTCATTCCAGAATTGGTGTTGATTTTGAGTGGAATAAGCTTTACTATAAAGGGTAGAATTTCACGAATAGGAAAGTAAGCTTTTGGTCTACTTCTACTACCCTGCATTTCGAAGAATGCTGTCGGCGAAGCTAAAGCTGTTCTTGCTGGAGATTACACTGGTGTGCAAAAATTACGGACGAGACGGTTTTTTCAATACAACTTTTGTACAAAAGCTTTCCAAATCAACACATTTAATACCGTAAGATCCCCAATACGTAAGGACATGAGTAATGTAAGCAACACTTACTAAAAGAGAAATCAGAGGGATAAAAAGAAGCTTTATTGAAAAAGTAGCATGGAGCGCAATACGACTGAAGACCGAAACATCCCTGTGATGGGTGTCCAGCAAGAAACCTCTGGTCTTTAATAGGGGATATGATCTCCCCTGGCTGCTAGGCAGGTTTCACAGCGTCTGCCCATGCTGAGAATGAGGGTGTCAATGAGTTGTTGAGGCATTGCTGCCCATTCCGTCTTGCAGCGCCAATCGAAGCTCCGGAATCGTTACTGGTGGTAAGGTACGAGCTGCCAAGCGTCTGCCTAGAAAATCCCATACATGCTCGATGGGATTGAGATCCGGAGATCGTGCCGGCCAATCCATACGTTCAATATCCTCACTCTCTAAGAGCTGTTCGGCAGCTACTGTGCGATGACATGGTGCAATGTCGTCCATGAAAAGGAACTTCGGACCTATAGCGCCTCTAAAAAGACGCACATATGGAAGAAGAATCTCGCTACAATAACGGGTCCCGTTGACTGAACCTGTGTCGAAGATATGAAGGTCTGTACGACTACCAAGCATGATGCCTCTCCAAACGAGAACACCGCCACCTCCATACCTGTCCCTTGCAATGATGTTCGAGGGATGATTGCGGCTTCCCCGCTCTCTCCAGATGAGTATGCGATGAGAATCGCTACTCAGACTGAATCTGCTCTCATCTGTAAAGAGTACTCGTCCCCATTCATTGTCTCTCTAATTCCGGTGTTCCCGGCACCACAGAGAACGCCTTCTCCGATGGGCAGACGTTAGAGGTACACACCGTACAGGGCGTCGTGCAAACAGACCACCACCGTGCAGTCTTCTGGCCACGGTAAAACGCGATATCGGTCGTCCAGTCGCCTGTGTCGTGTGTCTAAGCGATTTCTCCCGCTGTCTGCCGCCTGTTTCTTCTTCTGGCCTGTAAGGCAATATACCGATCCGATCATCTGCGGGTGTGGTTCCTCGTGGACGACCACTACTAAACCCCCGGATAGCTGTTCCTGTAGTTTGAAATTGTCGCCAAAGTCGTGAAACGATGCTGTGAGCAATTCCGAACTCTGCAGCCACACTTGTCACACTGCGGCCTTCCTCCAACTTCCCAATGATTCGACCTCGGGTAAAAGCATCCAGATGTCGTCTAACAGATTGATTATTCGCCATTTCTCGCTGAGACAGCAAATCGGTGTGATTTTAACTGCTATACGGCGTGCAATCTCTTTGCCAGAAATACTGATCTTACACCGACCACATGCTTTATACTACTCAGACACTCCCCCATTACGTCTACCTGCATATCTGCGCATGTGCTACCGTACATCACCTTACTTAATCTCCTGATTGGTCTTTCTGTCCGCTCTGCCTTTTCGTTCAGCTGATATGCTAATTTTTCGACTTCGTCCTTAATTTTTGCACACCAGTGTATATTAGAAGGATCTTCCTTGGTAGTGTGTGTGTTTGATATTCTGTTGCGAGCTAGAAAATCTTGTAGTTTCTGCATATTTAGATTTAATTTGTTGAATTTTCTTGTTGTGAATGGAATTTTTGGAGATGAAACCAGCTGCAGGTTGTCTGGTAAATTTGTGCTTGCATAATTTGATTTTAGCCCTCACAAGTGGTGAGGTATAATAAACTTAAAGTGTTTTAACTTTGCTGTCTGTTTGCTTGATGATTAGTTATTCTGATGGTGAGAATTCATTGCACAGATCAGACGTACCACCTTACTGAAATTACAATTGTACTAGCAAAGTAGTTCAAACCCCTCATAGGTGTGTTACACTCTGACTACCGGCGATGATCAATGTTATTTATGTTCATTTTTTATTTATGCTCTCCGAAATATTGCCATCCTTTAGTGATGGTAGCGAAGAGAGATTTCACTGAATTTATTATAGAATTATACATTGTGTTGCTGCAAATGCTCTTCATAAGAGGAGTTATGTTATCACTATTACTGATATGAAAAAAAGCACAGTCTTTCGTTAATTAATCTTTCCATTCTGTGTTGCTTTCTACAGTATTTTCAATAGATTGTTGTTTTTGTGTTGTGACTTATCTCATTTGTCTGGTAGTAACATCAGAACAAGCCCATGAAATTTATCGTGAAAAGGTTGCGCCTGTCGTTAGCAAGAGCCTTAGCACCCCGGGGGACGGGTCTGAGGATCTCCCTCCCCTCTTCCCCTATCAAAACTCCCGAGAGGACATATTTAGAGTACCCCCATGCCGCATAGACACTATACATTTACAACTACCCATGCTTTCTGCGGGATTCAAACCTGGGCCCTTCGGTACTGCAGTCAGCGTCGTTACCACTATCCCGGTAATCTATCTGAGGGTCTTACACCCCTCTTTCCCTACCATCAACTTCCGAGAGGACTTTCGCCTAACCGTGTATTTACTGGAATCGGCTTTTGCCTTTCGCTAGCCGTGTTTGCTCCCGTAATTTCAGTCTTAGCCAAAGCCTACAATAGGACTTTGCCTTATTATTTATAAGGCAAAGGATTTTGCCTTATATTAAAACTTTAATACTTTAATTGCTTAAGTTTTACTTTGACATTTTATGTTCTGTTAAATCACTCAGAAGACGGTGATTTAACTATGTTAATTACACAAACCATGTAAGTGTTGAAACTGAAGTTATGATAACATGTTTATTTTCCTAGTTCAGAATTATTTTCACCGGAGAACTAAGATCATCTCGCTGTCCTCACGAAGACAGAATTTAGCTTCAAAATATAAAAAGTCCCTATATTCTAATGAAATTTTCGCATGAATGTCTAATGCTTGATGAATTGCAGTTCTTTAATGAATGCGTAAAATTGGTTTCACTGAAGCAGACTGAATATAAAAAAGTACTCAGTCTCCAAAAATATTAACAAATCAAATTTATTCATACATAATTTAATTTAAATAATTTCATTCAAAATTTCCAGGTAATCTTACTTGAAGTTCAAGTTCTTAAAGGAGAAATGGATCTCGATAATTCCGGTCGTTTTGACACGGGTTCTTAGTACATCTTGCTCATTTGGCAAGTAGTCTATTTGGGCCAGACGATCAAGTTCATCAAGGAAACTGAAAAAAAATTAATTTTTTATTCTCTCAGATATTATGTAAAATTAAATTTATTGATCTATATAAAGTTAAAATATTTAGGATGCAAACCCTAAATTTTTATAATGATGATTGTATGATATCACAAAGCAGAATCTCAGTGAAATGTAGTTTTTGAAATTAAAACTGTGAAGGAAATCAATACTTTGTATATCCTCTTTTTCTAAGTTTAGTACAGTACTTTAATCAGCTTTTAAATTTAGGGTTAAATTAATTACATTTTCTCCAGTTTTAGTCCACGTTATTTTTACTGATTCCCGTATATTTCGATACTGATTAGTATTCTTATTTTAACATTGTACAAGAAACATCACAAATAATGCGGTTTTAGAGTTGTTCTGACAATGCAGAAGATTCGTGTCTTTCAGATTAAAAAAATATTCTATAATCAGTATAAAATATTGAAGAACGATGTGCTTGATAGCTTAAGCTCATCCAATTTTAAAATCGTTTTCCTTTCTAAATAGCAGTTGCAAGTACTTATTCAAGTACATGATTGCAATAGTTTCATTATACTTTCCAGTAAATGGTGTCTAAACGGGATTAATATAGGTCTAAAATTTAAAGTTTAGTAAATCTTTGTTTATGGTGTTATTCAACTTGCTTGTCACTATGGCTGGAATGTCGGTTATGTCATTATAGCGTTGACCCTTCATGTGAAGTTTGATTTCCTGGAGTAAAAAAAAAGTCACTCGGATCCAAATCGGGTGAATATGGAGGATGAGGGATAACTAGCACACGTTTTTCGTTAGAAACTGCACCAGCATTCCAGCCGTGTAAGCGGAGAGCATTGTTGCGCAGCAAGGAGAAAATCACTCCTTTTTCATCATCCCCCCGGACGAACTCGCAGTATTCTTTTACATGATCGATCCATGACACCCAGCTAAAACTGGGAATTTAATCTGCTACTATAATTATAGCACTTGTCGCAGGAAGAAAAACTGGCTCCGATCCTTTCGAACAGACGGTGTATATCTTTGTATTTTAATATTTTTTATGTTTCTTTCTGCTTATAAAATTCCTTGTATTTGTAAGTAAGTTAATATTTAATTTTTTTTATTATGATATAACTTCTCTCAAAACTTTTGAGGAATCGCATCACTTACTATTTAGCACTATCATTCAATTGGTACTCATTGGAACGGCGGTAACAGCGAAGAACACCACGATCAACCCAGAGCCGCTTCATTGCTGTCAGCAATTGGTGAGTAAACAAGTTAGCATCGGGTACACGATGGGCTGCTTCGAACACCACTGTTGCATCCTCCTGAAAACAAAAACAACAACAACAACAACAACAAAAAAAAAAAAAAAAAAAAAGAGAGAGAATAATTAGACAGAGACTTAAAAAAAAAAGAGAATAATTAGACAGAGACTTAAAAAAAAAAAAAAAAAAAAAAAAAAAAAAAAAAAAAAAAAAAAAAAAAAAAAAAAAGAGACTTTTAGTGACAACAAAAACTTTTTAGATTTTTTTGAATATGGCAAAGCACAGAAGGGTTACCCGTCTAAAGGAAGGGATGTCTTCTTGGAGGACTTTCTAATTTTCAAGAGCAACATATTCACATAATTACATATAATATAAACTACATATTCTGAGGAAATATATATAGTATATATATGTATACTCTATATATAGAAATATGTAGAGTATATATATATTTATAACGAATATTCTATCATTCGTATAAAGCTAATTTAAAGCAAATTTAAATTTAAATTTATGATTATGAAAATTTTATTGTATACAAATAAAAGATTAATTATTGCTGCGAACTAATTTGCAATATCATTCAAATTCTGAGAGCATATATAAATTAAGTATCTAAAACATACCATGAAAAAATATTCAATAATCCAAAAAATTTAATCCTAAAAATTTTAAAGAATTTCTAAGACTAAATTAATTTGCATAAAATGAATAATTGTTGAGCAGGCAGGAAACAGATCGTTTCAAGGGAAAGTTGCCTCCAAACCTAACTCTTCAATTACTCAGTTCGTGTTTCGTCATCCATATAGGTATGGCTATAGTAATATTCAAAACCTCCTATTAAAAGGATAGTTAATAGTTTCGTACACTGAAGTGATTAAAAGAATGATTCAATTCTTCATGATGAGCTAGCAGCATAAATAGTATAAACAGCATGCTAATAGCATAAATAACATGCCTTTTATTTTAAAAAATGCTATATTTAAGCTTATTAAAGGCGAATAATATTTAACTTTATTCCCCTAAAACTCTTCAGATCTGCTTATCAAAATGAAGATATACGTATAATCACTAAAAGGTGTGGCAACAAGGTTATTTACAATTGGAAATTGGATATTCAGTTGAAATCTATTTAATGACGAACTTCCAAATGGGGATGGAGAAAATATTACTTACCACTCGAGCTTCACATTCATACTCAATTTCCAATTCTGACATAGCGTTCAGGATGGCAAGCATAGACTGAATGGTATTACTGTATACCATAGATCTATACTGCCTCAGATCTTCCTCGCTGAATCCACTGTTATGGATAATCCTAAAAAGAAAATAGAGAATATAGAATATTTTTACTAACAGTAGGAAATAGTAATAGATTAAAATATAGTGAATAACACCAATAAAGCATAATGATACATTTAAGGTTCATAAAATATACTACTGGTCATCCAAAATGCAACTCTATGAAAGCCAAGAGTTAGCAGCGCCAAATTTATTTGACAAATAATGTAAGGCACAAGGAGAAATTAATTAGCATTACAGCTCTTTTTGATTTGCGAAACACAAAGAAATTAGTATCTTGCGTAGTCGTCATGATTGGCAATAACTGCTAAGACAAGCCTCGGCATAGAAGTTTAGATTATTCGACTGTGGCAAAGCCACAAACGTTACCTACCTAAGAGTAGGGATATTATGGATATTATTATATATAGGGATAGCATGCCTTCGTGGAGGACTTCCCAAGGGAAACTGGCTCGTATTCACATTATACATGGGGAAAAGAATGAAACCCAACCATACAGCCAACCCAGTGTTATTCCAAAAAGGATCCATGTTCCATGTCCAAAACGTTAATTATTATCAAAGTAAAAACTAGTAGCTTCGCGTTCTACATAAATTCAAATACAATTTTTATGCACTTTTTTAATATTTAGTATCAGTTGGCATTCAAATCTTGTATCGTACATTTATAATTATTGGATTTATGACTTACGTTTAGCAAAATAATTTTCAATAGAATCATAGGAACTGAATTATTCGAACAGACTTATTGGATTTCTTCAAGATTACTGTTACATTCCTTCAGAAAACATTCACTGAGGTCTTTGGTTTTGAAAACTTTATAGCAGTAATTACTGAACTAAATGACAACAAAGACATGAAAGACAAAGATGTATCAGTTCAGTAGCTTAATACCCTGAATTCTAGTAACCTGGCTTCAGAAATATCTGGATAAATAAAATATACAGGAACACCTCGAATTAGTGCAAATAACAGAAGAATAAATATCATGAGAAATAAAAGAACCAAATTATGTTACTTATAATGGATCAGTTAAAAATGGTTGTTAAGTAATGTTAGAGCTATAGGATCCTTACTGTGCCATATTATCTACCTTATTTGATTTTCGCTCCGTCTGCACAGGAAAAGTCTTAAAAAGGTTTTAAATAACATTTGCATTACATCTTTAAATGAACAGAAAGCACAATTTTGTGCGTACGAATAAACTCCGCCACTTGCAGATATTTAACAGAAGAAAGTTTAAAAGTTCAAATCTCAAATTAAAAGTACCGTAGTCGGAAACTATCTAAATGGCCCTACTTACATTAACTTAAAACTTTAATGGTGCATATTAATGTCGATTAGCAAATGGCTAAAGCCGGATTATTCAGTGGTAACGTTGGGCAATGGAAAGTAAACGGCCGTTTTAGATATAGAAGCGATAGAGCCTCTATATCTAAAACGTTCTAAACCTTCGATTTAAATATATTTCAATCTAATTTGCTTCCTGGTGATGGCTACGAAAAGGAAAATTTATAGTAAAGGTTTAATTCATAATAATTGGCTAATTAACATAAAATACGAAGACACTATGGTTGATAGCTGTACTCTTGATTTAGTTTTTGCCATTGAGTAGCTTGCTTTTCAAGTATACATGTAATATATCAAAAAGTCATCCTCGAAACCATTCCTCTATTTTGGGAGAAAAACCTCGTGGGCTTTTCCGTATTAAAACAACCTAACCTAATCTTTTAAACTTTGATTTAGCAGTGTTTGTACATTCCTGAGTACCAATTACATTATGTATGGTTGTGGATAGTAACTACTAACAAATACTACGACCTCATCTGCTGTCACTGCTGTTACACATGCATATTACGTTCCTGTTTATAATCTCCACAGACAGTTTTGTTTTAGTCTAATAGTTTGTGACAGAAACTTTTGAATAAGTCCCGGTTAATTCGTAGCCTAAAGATCCATCCCGATAAATCAAAAGATCTCTGTCGAAATGAATTACTCAATTCTCTTTTTTTTCTCCGAGTATATTGTATTGTAAATATCATCCAGTTTTCTGCAGTCAAAAAGTTCCGTATAATTTCCTATGAAATTGTCTTATAGATTTCTCCTAAAATCAAGAAGCTACACTACTTAACAAAACTAAAGAATTCTTTAGAATTATTGTATAATTTTCCATAAACTAGGTCTGAGATTTGCTAGAGAACTTTTAAAATTTTATGTATAGCTTTTGTAGCGTTATGGATAGAGATTCTATAGATATTTGTATAGATATTCTACAGAAATCTATGTATAGATTCTATAAAATTTTAAGATTTTTTTTAAAGGTCACACATTTAGAATCATATGTAACTTTAGTACAATTAACTAATATAATACTATTAAAAATATCAGATTCTATTTATAGAACATTGGGTTGTAATTCTGAAGGATTTTAAGCAAGTCTCTTGGCTTTAAATTTCTATAAAAGATATATAGAAACTTTTGATTATTTAAAAGTCTTGTAAAATCACCAAAATATTCTTTGGAAATTAAAGAGAAAGAAATAAATTTCATTTTTGGGTCAAATGTTTTAACGTAATTCTAAACTGATTAAAGGGGAGATATAAATTTTAATACCATTTTGATTTCAAAATACATTTAAATAAAATAAATATGTCTTAAACAAGAGTTAGGAAATCATTTCACTTATCAGGGAAATTTCACTTATCAGGTACATATATAAAAATTTAAAAGTATCAATTCCAGGAGTTAAAATTCTTTTAATTAACCACATTAATTTAATTTTAATGAACTTTATGATCTGAACTGATTTTACATTTTTACAAGACCTAAATTTTGTATTATTAAGCACTATTGTAGATAAAATTGCACAAAATGTTGCATAAATTTAGAGGCTAAGAAAGCTTTAGTCGATAAAAAATGGAAAAGTGTATATATTTGCTCTTGTATGTCTCGCACAGTAATTAAAAACGGAAAATTTGCTTTGATTAGAATTTGAAAACCTTGCAGATTTCTGGGGAATACCATTCTCTGACGGTTTTGTAAAATTTGTGTACGATTTTGCAAAGCAACATTTCTGTAGAATTGTTCTGTCAAGGCTTTATAAAATTTCTACAGAATTTGAAAGAGGAAAACTTCTGTAGCGATTACCTATAATGTTCTATAGAAATTTCTGCAGAGCTGTATCAGTTTCTACAAAACTTTTCGTGCGTAAGAGTATTCCTTTTTAAGCAGATTAATGATTTGACCTCATCGGAACACGAACAGAAAGACAGTTTTTTAAGAAATTGTTAAGAATGTGACTCTTTCTCTTCTTGGATAACCATAAAGGAAATGATTAAATTCTTGAAGAGCAAACCACTTCCCTCATTAGAGATGGACAGCTTGCCTTGCACGCGCCAGCAGAAGCACGTGTTGGCTTTGAGGGGCGCACAGAAACAACCTTTTAATTTGTCGTCTTTCTTATAATGAAGCAAATCCCAAAGCTGACTTTTAATCTACAAAAACAGAATTATTTTTTTTTGTTACCTTTCACACAGGGCAACGTGACTTGCATGTGCAGTATAAATCACGCGTTAGTTTTTCCATGTGCAATGAAAGGCACTTGATCTTAGTTGCCGATAAACTAATCGGCGTTGCTTGCACCAAAGCAAACGTTGCGTTAATTTTAAACAAAGAAACAAACGAAACAAGACAAAAAAAACCTTGCAAAGGTCACACTCAACGTGGCCTTTGCACGCTCTTCGAAGAGCATGCTCCAATTTTCAGACAGGAACATTTGTATTCAAATTATAACTAGTATATGATTTTATTTGTTTGTTATATTCAAGTTTGTAATATTATAAATAAAGTATATCTATTATTTGACAAATAATAGATGTACTTTCAGACAAGAACCAGTTGAACCCTTTTTATATCTATTTCAATTTTTAAATTCAAACGTTAATTTTCTAGTTAATTCTATGAATTAAGAATAATAAAACAGAAATCTGAGATCTTTTTACTGAAACACGTCATCGGAGATGATCTGCTTCAGAAATGCATTGAAAAACGCACGCCTGTTGCCAAATTGGCAAAGTGTAAGTTCAAATGGGATTGAACTAATGCTTCGATATGCCAATGGATGCGTAGTAAACCCTATATAAAAAAAGTTTATCATATAGTCGTGGCAGCAATAACATAACCTGATGCTATTTACATATTATTCGTTCAATAAACTAATGACTTAGAAGGCTTAATTATTTTTTATCACTCACTCATAATGTAAGTCAGAGCACACATTGTGGGTAGTGTAAATAAAAAAATATTAATATCTTAACTTTATTTTTCGCTTTTTGGAAAATAAATCATTGTGACGTTATATGTTTTAATACATACTTTTAGGTCTAAATGCTCGTTTTTGATTCCTAACTAAAAGGAATTTTCTTCCTAAAAATCAGTATCCTTTTTTACTAAAAAATTTAATTTATCTGTGTAAACAAATGCTTCAAACTACTGAACATATTTTGATATGGAAAATGATTCTCTTAAACATAACAGATTTAAATAATAACTTTAACATAATAATTTTTATACATCGCTTTACTCATTATGAAAAGATAAATTTGAAAATTAAGCTCTTGGAAATCAAATTTAAATAAAGGAAGATAAATTTATGAAAACATGTTAATGACTCCGTTTTGTCCTGAAATAAGGGCAAAATATATGTTCACATCTATAATATTCATAAATAAGAATTATGATAACTTTAATCATTTGTCTCTGAGGACATTATTGAAGTATACGTGAAAATTCACAAATCACAACAAATCATATTTTGAAATACAAACATATGGAGAAAAATTGTTGAGATATTGAATACTGAGGTATAAATAGATACGACAATGTATTTTTCTGATTTATATTTTTCTCTTAGCTTATAAGGCTTTCTTTCAAGTTAACGAATTTAAGTTTAGATATTCACTTTCTTCTTTTTAAATAAAGAATCCTTTCGAAAATATAAAAAATATTATGCAGTGT